GGGTCGTGTCCAAGTAACGCTCCCCACGGGCGATTTGCGACCCCCCCCCCAGGGCAGCCTGCCCCTCTGTGGGGAGCGGAACTGGCCCGCTCTGGGGACGGGGACTCCGCACTCCCGGCCCCCCCGTGGCTGTGGGACGGGCTTGCCTCAGCGCCAGGCGGGGTAAAGCCGCCCCCACAAAGGTAGGGAAGGGGGGGTGCATGAATTCCCCTCCCCCGGGGGTGTAAGCGATCTCCTGAGAGCGTCCACCGCCGTCGGGGGACCCCTAGACGTAGGATGGAGGACGGGAGCTCCCTGGAGTATTTAGGCCAGTGCCCTACCCACAGGCAGGACTAAGTGTTATCTAGACGGTGGGTCTCACTCAGAGGTATGCAGCCCCCTGGGGCTACGCAGAGGTCATCCAGGGGGTACATCCGCGCCTGGAGATATTTGCCTCATTTTACAACAGGCTAGAGCCCTGCAGCAGGACTGGGAATCTCCTGGGTCCCAACGGACCTGCTGCCATAATAGGGGGAGCAGGATAAAAATTCAACAAACAAAGGAGGAAACGGACATTGTGGGAGAGGAACGGGATTAAAAAAAATAGGCCTCGTGCGCCAACATGAACGCCTCAGCCAGCAGCCACCGCTCGCCGGCTACCCACTTTTAAAGGCAGCACCGCCACCAGCAGCAGCACATTAGGGTGGCACTACCAAACCATGCAACTCTTATTTCTGCACTGCTGCTGGCCGTAGCACTGCCTTTGGCTGTCTAGCTCTGCAAAGGGTACAGTAGTTTGGAGAGGTTGAAAACCACTGGTCTAGACCATCCTGGACAGGTGTTTGTATTTGGGTAAATCTCTCCCACCTCCTCCAGGAGGTAGATAAAGGAGACTCCGAGTATTTGTGGCATCAAAATAGCAGCCTGTGCAGATACTGCACACACAGCAGTTAAAGAATCTGCTAGTGCATATGTGATGTATATTATGATACTTCTGTGCATGAGTGTACCTTGAACCACAGAAATTTACATCCAGATGGGCGAATTCATCCCTGTTTTCACCCCACTGCAATTAAAACAGGAGTCTAGCCACTGGTTTCTTTGACTGTTTCCTAGGAGAAGTCCAGGAAAGCCAGACATACCAAGGTCCTGCAGAACTGCTGATTAAGGTAAATGGCCTGGCAAGATGTTTTAGTAAATGAGATTGCCCTCTTTTGCTGTGGATGGCAGGGAAGAGAAGAGTGGTAGGTGGATGAAGGGTTACAAGCTGGTAATGTGGGGTGGGGGGTTATGCAGGTTCCTTACATGTTCTTCCCTTTTTTTTAGGAGGTGGCTGTAATAAAAATTTAACCACAGATGTAAGTGAGAAGCTTCTGAGCCATTATGCAGTACTTTATCTGCAAGGTGTATCATTTCTATCCTGCTGAACATTACAGCATCAGAATAACTCCCATTAGTTAATCAGACCCTGAGGGAGTGGCCTTTGTCCTAGCAGTTTTGGAAAACTATTTGTGACATTAATTAAAGGATGAATATAGAGAGTTACAGGGATCGTAGTTATTACTATATAGTAATAATAAACAATTGATTTGCACTCCTGTCCTGCTGCTGTTACATATGGAACCAACTTGACAAGACATACTGCCTCTTAAAACCAGTGTAGAAATATTAGGTGGAATTCAGACAGTTCCTCCTAATGTTTAAACTCTCCCATGACTTCTCATTCTCCAGACATGTTGAGCCCTCTGAAATGATGCAGCACAAATAGTGGTAATTCAGGCTTCCCTGCCTGCCCGCATGCCTTACCCTTGTTTCCTAAACATGTTCAATGGCAAATGAACTCAAGTCATACTGAAGGGTTATCAGATGGTAACAACTTTTAGTCACTACTGATTAACTTGCTGCTTTCTGTCATGCCAGAACACTATCTCCTGTACACAGATGTTTTATTGCTGTCCCCTTAGTAACTAACAGAAGGTGGTTGTATGTAGGAAGGAGAGCTGGGGGTAGATATAAAGTCTTGCTGGAGTACCTGGCTAGCTGTGTAATAAACTGCATTCATCAGAGACGTTATTCAGTCCCCAGCATTCTGGGCTCATGACATTTCAGATAATTAGAGCATTACACCATTAGAGCTAAAAGGATAGACAGATTGTTCTGCTCATGCTGGAGATATAGAGGATGAAATTTCATTTTATGACCTCAGAAAAGATTTCTTATAGAATATACCAGCAAGATGCTTTCAGAACCCAGAGAAGGAGTTCATAGATAAACCCTAAACACTTGTCATATGGAGGGCTTGGGATAAGAAGCTACAATTATTGCTCAGTAATGTGTGTCAAGAGCAGTCCCATAGAGGTTCTCAATTTAAAAACACATATTACAAAGCATAGTGCTTAAGTACATCGGAAGCAGGAAGCCTGCTAAACAACCAGTGGGGCCACAGGAAGATCGGGATGGTAAAGGAGCACTCAAGAAAGATAAGGCCATTGCAGAGAAACTAAATGAATTATTTGCATCGGTCTTCATGTCTGATGTCAGGTAGATGTTCTATATCCATCTGTAGGATGGATATGGGCATAGGCACAGTAAGTCACTTCTCCAGTGTCACTCATAGGCAGAGCCTCTAGTCCAGGGGTGGCCAACCTTTGGCTCCGGAGCCACATGCGACTCTTCAGAAGTTAATATGCGGCTCTTTGTATAGGCACCGACTCTGGGGCTGGAGCTATAGGTGCCAACTTTCCAATTGCCTGGGGGTGCTCACTGCTCAACCCCTGGCTCTGCCCCCACTCCACCCCTTCCCGCACCCTCCCCTGAGCCCGCCGTGCCCTCACTCCTCCTCCTTCTCCCTCAGAGCTTCCTGCACACAGCTAAACAGCTGATCGGGAGGGACGGAGGGGGAGGCGCTGATCGGCGGAGCTGCCAGTGGGTGGGAGGCGCTGGGAGCGGGGTGGGGAAGCTGATGAGGGGCTGCTGACGTATTACTGTGGCTCTTTGGCAATGTACATTGGTAAATTCTGCCTCCTTCTCAGGCTCAGGTTGGCTACCCCTGCTCGAGTCCTTACTGCGGGTACCCTTCTTTGAACACTAGAGAAGGCTACCGTGGCCCTGATCTTACAAACAAGTAAGCTTACAGACTTTAATAGTTTAACAGAACCTATCATTTTTAACAGTAATCCACCATTGGAACATTTACCAAGGGTCATGATAGATTCTACATCACTATGTCATTGTGAATTTTAAAATCAAGACTGGATGTTTTTCTAAAAGATATGCTCTAGGAATTATAGGGAAGTTCTATAGCCTGCATTATACAGGGGGTCCGACTAGATGATCACGATGGTCTCTTCTGACCTTGGAATCTATAAGTTAGAATTTCCAGGACTTGGAATTGCAAATTACATCTGTTCAGGATGTCTGCTCTGTTAAGAATTTATAGTTTTGCCAAGACAAAATAATAGTGCCATAAGCAAGCTCAAATATAACTTGCTAACAAAATAACAGCTAGGAATATAAAGAATATTGATTGGATATATGAGTATTTTAAAATACACATTTTCTCTAGGAAAAAGGTGTTGTTATAATGCAAGTTAGCTCATACATGACAAAATCATACCAATAGATAAGGCAGGTTGTAGTTTTTGCATGACTTAGCAAGTCAAATTAAAGACTATGGAGAAGCCTAGAATTTTCTTCACGCAGCCTTTACCACATATTAGTTAACACAAGGTAAGAGCACATCTTTGTTTCCTCCCCTCCACTCCCCCTCCCCCCAGTGAAGATAATGCCAAACAGGATGTAGGGCGGTTCGGCTGGGGATCTTCCCCCTCCGTGGCAGCGGGGAGCCAGACCGCCTCGCTACTTTGGTCAGGTGTGTCGGGAAATTAGCTTGGCTGTGCAGCAGTCAGCAGCTCCGCAGTGGTTCAGGCGGTGATACTCCGCAGCGGTACCGCCTCCGGGAAACGGGTAGCCTAATCTACTAGGACCAACACATACTGAAATCCCGCAGTGCTTTTCAGGAGGGGCCCCACCAGGTCCATGGCCACGTGTTCGAAGGGCGTTTCGACTATGGGCATGGGGACCAACGGGGCCCTGGGTGTCCATGCAGGTGCGGCTAGCTGGCACTCTGGGCAGGAGTTACAATAGTTCCTTACTTCCTGATGCACACCGGGCCAGAAGAAGCATGTCAGTATCCGGGCTGGAGTCTTCTCGTGGCCCAAGTGCCCGGCAGCAGGGATGTTGTGGGCGAGTTTCATTACTGCCCGCTGGTGACATCGAGACATGAGTAGTTGGCTCTGGGGTTCTCTAGTGCGCGGGTCCCGTTCTACCTGATAGAGCCGATCTTGTCGCAGTTTGAAGTGTGGCCACTGCTTCGCCCGGTGCGGGTCAATTATGGCCCCATCGACTGTGGCTAGTTGCTTGTAAGCGTGACTGAGGGTGGGATCTGCCCTTTGGTCACGACAAAAGTCAGTGTGAAGCAGGGGTTCAGCAGCAGCTTCTGCAGGGGAGTCCTCGGGCTCTTCTTCCAGTCCGTTGGGGTCTGGCGCCTCCTCGCCCTCTGACTGGGTCTCAGGGAGGTTCCCTTCCAGTACTGGGTTAGTTGCGGGCCTCTCATCGGCATTGGAGCGGAGGACTTCCGGGAAGTCTGGCCAGTCCCAACTCAGGATCACCGGGTAGGCGAGCCAAGGAGCCAGGCCGACCACCATCAATTGCGTGACCCCATCCACGGTCAGTCGGACTTAGGCACTGGGGTAGGGTTGTACATCGCCGTGAATGCATTGTAGACGGATCATCCCCAGGCAAGGGACAGCCTGGAGGCCTAGGCTTTGGCAAACCAGTGTCTGACCGCAACCTGAGTCAATTAGGGCCAAGGTTGGGCAATCCCCGACAACCACTGGCACCGTAATCTTGGCGGCTTGTGGGCTTCAGGTGCGGGCTTCTCCCGTGCAGACCTGGCTGAAGCTGCAATCCATCTCGGTGCAGTCTCACTGTAATGGCCATATTTCCCACAGGAAAAACAGGGTCTGATATCCGAGAGCCCAGGCCAGAACAATGTTCCCACCTGGCTCCTGAGAGGGCTTTGGTTGGTCCCTGGGACATCTGGTCGAGGTACCGGGGCTTGTCGAACTGGGACGTTGGCAGGTCGGGGTCAGGGCTCCAGGCCCTGTGACGGATTTCGTGGTTTGCTCCGGGTAGTCCCCGCTTTTCTCTGAGTTAGGGCGCTCCGGTCCTGGCGGGGCAGCTCGAGTGATCGGTCCCACTGGTGCTTTGGCGGTGAGGAAATCCTCCATGAGTGTGATGGCAGCAGTTAAGGTCGTAGGCCGATGGCGGAGGACCCAGGCCCTCCCTCGCGATGGGAGTATATGGACAAATTGCTCCAAAATAATTTGTTCAACGAGCTCATCCGGGGTTCGCCTTTTGGGTTGTAGCCACCGCTTGCAGACTTCCCTCAACTCTTGGGCCACCATCCGGGGTCAGGCCCCCGTAGGGTAGACCAAGCTCCGAAACCACTGTCGGAAAGTCTCCGGGTTAACGTCCAAGGCATCTAAGATTGCCACCTTTACCCGGGTGTAGTCCCGAGCTGCATCCGTGGACAGGCCCCGATATACGGTTTGGGCAGTCCTGGTCAGATATGGGGCCAAAATAGTAGCCCATTGGTCTTGGGCTCAGCCTGCGACTAACGCCACCCTTTCAAAAGTTACCAGAAAAGCTTCTGGGTTGTAGTTGGGGCCCATCTTTGTCAACCAGATGGGAGGGGCCAGGCTGGGGCTCCTCAGGACGGGGCAGCAAGGTCACCAACTGCTGCAGGTATTGCTGCTGGTGGTCCCTGTTCTGGCGTCCCAGCTCCAAAAGCAGCTGTTGCTGTTGGATCCCGAGCTGCTGGACCAGCTGCTGCTGCTGCTGGAGCTGGGCGGCCTGCTGCTGTTGTTGGCTTTCGGCTAGGAACTTAATAAACTTGTCCATATCCATGGTCGCTCGGGCACGCTCCACCGCGGATCCCTTCTCACAAGGATTGGGGGGATCAGTGCCCACATTCTCCACCATGTGTAGGGCAGTTCGGCCGGGTCTCGTGGTCAGGTGTGTCGGGGAATTAGCTTGGCTGTGCGGCAAACAGTCAGCAGCTCCGGTCCTCTGGCGGGGGCAGAAGAAACAGTTCAATAGTAGCAAGCCCCGGCCCTAGATCACGGCGGGCAATAAACAGTCAGTAGCTCAGGCCCTCAGGCAGGGGCTGAGCAAACACGTTCAATATAACTAGCCCAGGCCCTGGGTCAGGGCAGGGCAAAAATCAGTCAGTAGCTCAGGCAGGGGCTGAGCACACAGGTTCAATATTAGCAGACCCAGGTCCTGGGTCAGGGCAAGGCAACAAACAGTCGGTAGCTCAGGCCCTCAGGCAGGGGCTGAGCAAACAGTTGAACAGCAAACCCCAGGCTCCTGGCTCTGAGCAACCTGGGAGAGGGGGAGACGGCCACCTGCGAGGTGGGTGGCGGGGGGGGACACAGGCCCACCCACTCCACTGCATCCTAGCCCGGGGCCCTAGCAGCGGCAGAAGACCCGTTGCTGTGTCAGTGGGGAGCCTGACCGCAACACACTGAAATTGGCTCTGGCAGTGTTGCAGCCAGACTCGGGTCGGCTGCCCCTGGGCTACTTCCTACCTCCCCCTCTAGAGGTACTTGGGTCCAGACGGCATCCTCCACGGGGTCGCACATCATGGGCTCCTCAGGATAGCTGGCGAGTGGTAGGCCTGGCAGTTCCTCGGGGTAACGGGCAAGCAGTAGGCTTGGCAGTGTCTCTGGGCTCGGGCTAGCATCAGGCGTTGGCTGGTCTGGCCAGTCCTTGGGTCGGCCGCTGATCACCGTGGTCTCCCCACTGGGAGCTACGCCACAAGCATCTGGTCGCTCCTGTGGCTGAGTTCCAAGTGAGCTCTGGGGTTGGGCTCTTATACTTCCTATCCTGCACCTTAACCTCTGAAGGGCGAGTGCAGGGTTTGCTGGCTCCACCCACTTTGGTGTCCAGAGAGGCTCATCCCCCTCCGGGACGGCGGGGAGCCAGACCACATCGCTACACAGGGCTTTATGAAACTTCATGATGTATCCGAGTTTTACCTTTTTTTATGAGCCTGTAGTTCTGCAGCTGCTACTAATCTCCATTTCCCCTTTATCAGAGTCCCTTTAAGAACTCACATTTTCCACTCACATTCTGAGCCCTAAGTCCTTTGATTCACTCTTCATCAGGCTGGCAACAGAGTTTGTCAAAAACAGAAAAACATCCCAAAACAAATACAGTCTTTCACCAGGTCTAGTTCTACATAGTCTCCTGTTTCTTGGGCTTCCCCACCTTACTATCAGACCTTCTACCTCTAGCAGCCTGAGCTACTTCTTCCATCCATGCAACCAAACCCTCCTTACAACTTCTGGCTGCCTTTTATATTTGAATCACCTGATTCCTCTCAGATGGAGCTCATCTTGTAACCAGGGCTAGCTCAACCCCAGGCTCTTCAGCCCAGGGGCAAGTTACTCTGTTACAGAGCCAAAGATTTCCAAGTAAACACATCAACATAGAAATCAATTGAATAAACTAAAAAAAAAAAAATCTAAACAAATGAAAATAAAACTTGAAGGCAAACCAACATACAAGACTTATGAAATTAAACAAAAGATCAAAATCTGACAAAACCAGGGGAATATCTGCAAATAAGAGAAATCCAAGCACACTAGTCAATTTATTAACTGGTGAAATTTGTCCTGATCTGAAGGGCCAGCATAAGCCCTTCCATACCATTTAACATCCAAGAAGGTGGGGTGCCATTGCTTCTGCATCCCCTGTATAGTGATGGTCTAGTGGAGCTGAGCCTGCAGTAGGCCAGTAGGATTGACAGTTACATGGAACTAGATGACCCAATATCCAATGCAAATGTCATAGAGGGGCTGCTTATAGTGACACATTGGTGAGTACTTATATGGATCCCTGCTGAAATTCTGCCATCAAAGTTGGGTGTTGGGGTCACTTTCCAGCTTCTGTTGATGTTCACTGGACACTCCTATAGTATTCTTGCCAGAGATTTGTCACTGGGGCTCATAAATGTGCTTTGGAAGAGAGACTGTATTACCGATGGAATGGACCAGATTTGCCCAAATGGCAGATTTTCCAATTTCTAATGGGACTCCTTCCTTGTAAGGTGTTCACGCCAACCTCACCACCTCAAACCATACAACCTGAGCTCAGTGCACTGCTATCCTTACGTTCTGCATAGCTTTCAGGAGAGCAATGGAAATATTTCAAGCTAATGATTTTACAAATTTAAGTGCTTTTGTCACTATTTTGGATTAAAGTTATGAATGGCTTTTTAAAAATAGGAAAATAAATTCATATATTCTCCCTCAGTGCTTCACATGCTTTTCTGGAACAAAGGTTTAATTTTGGATTATTGGGAAAATTTTGGGGTACTCTTTCCTAATACATGGGCAGCACATCACTGGTGCTGCAGTTGCTATCCTGTCCATAAGTATTTATGTTTCATACCCTGATTTAGAAACAAAGAATCATTCTTGTTAGGCAATTGAAGGGCCTGTTGTTGCTTGCTCTGCTTTGCTAAGATGGATATAAAGATAATTATTCTTACCGTTTACCCATGATCCCCAGTGCTTCATTTGTGGAACAATATTCTACACAAAACAAAGCAACTTTTGTGCCAACAACAGAGACTTTTTTTTTTTTTTAGGTAAGTAGGAGGTTGGAACATTAGGTGTGGTAGAGTTTTGCAACAGAATCTTAAGAGCATGTGTATGCCCACTTCAGGTAAGCATGAGTGCAAGCACCATATAACAGACAAAATGTATGCAATGTTGAGGGGGGGAGATAAAAAAAATGCAGTTAAAGATTTAAAAAAATAAATGTCTACATTTGGGCTTCTAAATCTATATTTAAGCACTTAAATAAGTTGTCTGATTATTCCAAAGTACTGAGCAGCCAGCAACTTCCTTTATTCGGATGCTTTGGAGGCTAATTTTAGGCCCTTATACTGAAAATCTTAGTCTCACTCACTAGTCTGCAAAAGTTCATAGAGGTGAAATAAACTCTCCCATCCCATCTTCCTTCCTCATTTCTCACCCATCTGCCTTGGTTATCTTTCAAGTAACATTTTACTTGTTATTTCCGGATATTGTCTTTTTACCCATTTTTGTCCACAGTCACAGGGTAGCTGGTCTCTGTGGACAGACACAGCCAGGCTCCCCTGGAAATTCAGCTAATTAAAGAGGACTGGGCTACACCTGGGCCTACAAAGGGCTGCTAGCGGGCATCTGAAGGAAGGACTGAGACAGACTGAACCCTGCACTGGCAGAGGAAGCTGTACTGGAGTGGAGCTAACTTCTGTGGCAGCCCCTAGAGCAAGAGGCCAGGGAAACAGTCCTGTGTCTGCTGCTCCAAGTGGGGAGTAGAGCTGAGTGAAGCTGGAAGGCTGCCAGGAGCTGGAATGCCGCCAGAGACCCCTGGAAGAGGTGGCCCTGAAGCCTGGAACCAAGAACTGGGTTAAGACACAGTTTTCTGTTAATTTCCTAAACTCGGTTATGAAAAATAAACCTCCTTGACTGAGACTGGGCATGGCAGCCTATGCTTTGGAGCCGGGGAGAAGTGATGGCCCTGGTGACATCAACACTAATCAGTAATTACTGGTTTGTTGATACACACAACTCGCGCATGAGTCCAGTTTCTATTTCTTCAACTCTATCTATTGTAACAGACCCAGACCAGTAGGGTACAGGAGTCTGGTAGAGGGCAAATATACTGGTCACTGGATGAGTAGTTTTCTGTTCCCTGAGTGACCAGAGCAGGGGCTGCACTAGAGTAATCAGGAACCTGCTAGAACCAGTTAAGGCAGGTAGGCTAATTAGGACACCAATTAAGAAGAAGCTGCTAGAATCAATTAAGGCAGGCTAATCAGGGCACCTGGGTTTTAAAAAGGAGCTCACTTCAGTTTGTGGTGCAAGTGTGAGGAGCTGGGAGCAAGAGGCTCAAGGAGC